GTGTCGATGCAGACATTCACACCGTACCCGCACGCCCGGTACTGGATCGTCGGTGGCGGGCATGATTACTCGGCACAGGACGACCGCGCCGGTCCACAGGGCGACGCGTTTCAGCGCATGCTGCGCACGTACAAGGAGAAGTACGATGCACAGTGGCAGGAACGACGACAGATCGCGGACGACCCGAAAGGCGTCGAGAATCAATCGCGCTGGGTGCAGTACATGGGGTGGGCCGCGCTCTTCGACGCGAAGGACAAGCGGATGATTTATCTGGCGGGCTTGATGCCGCGGCGCGCAGGGATTCGCACGCCCGCTCACCGTCGATCTGATGAGTCTTTAGGCGAGGTCGACCCCGTGTTGATTCGACTGGGAGAGAGCTTCGATCGGGTGATGCAGCGATGTGCCGCGCGATTGAAGCTAGTGCCGCATGAATCATTGCTCTGGCTGAATAGTATTGACCCGATGAAACCCGCGGGAAGGCCGTTCGAATTAAAGCAGAATGAGAAGTCAATGTATCGATATCGACAATTTGTCAAACGATGTCTGATATACTCTGTCCGCACAGGGCGTTTAGGGCGTGAGGTGTCACGACAGTCACACGGGATTCGATGGACTGATGTACAATGGGAATGGCTACAGCGGATTGAGGCTGTACTTGGTCTGCTTGGTAGTGGAAGGCAGGAGGACGGAGAGGACGAGGAGGACGGGGAGGAAGGGAAAGAGTGGCAGCATGCTCTGGATGAGGCAGTATTCACGTATTGCATCGTGATGCTGCAACAGCGGGTGTTGGTGAACTGGTACGAGAGTCCGTTGCTGTTTTTTGCCGCGGTGCTGGGGATCAACGACGCTCGTGGGAGCTGGAGCGAGCCGAAGCACTACACCGGGTCATTGGCGGGACTAGTGTGGTGCGGACGGATGTTGCTGCTGGAAGAAGCATTTCGAGAAAGTCCCGAAGACCCGAATGAAATGACCGTGGAGACCGTGGATGGTTTTCAAGAGGTGCAACATCGCTGGTTGGCGGCAGGCTCATACAGTCCGATGAGCACATTGATCAACTGGATGGCATATGGCAAGGGCTTCCGCACGAAAGAAGGAGGCACACCGAAAGTGCTCTGGGAGCAGAACGGGCAGGTCATGCGGTACTTGAATCAGTCAATTCACGTGGACAATTTCATGGCGATGGCACAGGAGGCGGTCAACGAGGCCGAGGCAATGCTCAGTCTACTGATGTACGATGAGTGGGCGACGGTGGCGTCGACGATCGATCTCCGGCGCATTCAGGACAGTGTTTCATTCGAAGGTACGGGATGTTCATTCGCAACCGAGCCGCGCAACGCGTGGTTGCGAGCTGGCTTCAGCTTCGTCGCCGAACGAGCACGGGCAACAATGTGGCCGTCTCAAGGAGGGTCAGAACCGCGGGTCGCGGAGGTCAAGGCGTGGATACGACGATTCAAGACGTTCAAGCGGCTGCTCATGGTCATTATGCACATCTGGGGTGGGCAGCCGGGTCGCGGGCCGGAGATGACGACGCTGAAGCACTGTGACACACAGCAGCTCATGCGCAATGTGTTTGTCTTTGACGGCGCGGTGATGCTCATCACCGACCGCGACAAGAATCGATCAATCCGCGGCTTAGGTCGCAAGGTCGCCCGCTTTTTCTCCGAGCGTGTCAGTCGCATGGTGGTGGCATACATTGCATGGCTCATGCCGTTCGAGGAGTTCATTCATGATGTGAGCGGCGTGGCGGGACCGGACAAATCGCTGTGGTCATACATGTGGAAGGATGCGCGTCGTGGCACTTGGGATACCGCGCAATTGAGCGATGGATTGGCTGCGCTCACTGGCGAGCACATGGGGGTGGAAGCAATGGTGAGCGATTATCGGCATGTGGCGATTGGGTTCGCCCGCGTCATCAAGGGGATTGTGGTCCGACGAATGGAGGTGGAGATCGAGGAAGGTGAAGGGGAGGAGGTGGATGGCCCCGAGGAGGCCGCGACATCAGGCCCGAAATGGGAGTGGATTTGGGACGCGCAGTCAACACATGGTAGTGTCATCGCGGCGGATCACTACGCAATCGACAGCCGTTTCCCGAGTCGCATGCAGCCGGAGAAGCTGATGAAATTTCAGGAGATCAGCCGGCTATGGCATCGCTTTCTAGAAGGGCGTCGTGGTGCGCAGGAGTCGGCGAAAGCTGCTGATAACATCAAGAAGGGCCCGTCAACTGTGACAAAGACGAAGACAGTGGCGACCGGGACATTGTCATCCGCGCGTCACCGCAAGAGGAAGCGCATATGCGCATCAGGAGAGGTCGAGGATGCGACGACATCGTCATCGTTGCCGCGTTCAAGGCGGGTGAAGCATGAGTCATCACACAGCACATTGCTCGAGGATATTCCCCGCGGACTGGAGCAGTTGGTCGGGCGGTCGGCAACATGGCGCATGCCCGAGCAAGGCGAAGCGATGGAGAAGATCATGGCAATGCAAGCGGGCGAGTCGTTGACCGTGGTGTTGCCGACGGGAGCGGGTAAAAGTGTGCTGTTCATGTTACCGCCGTTGGTGGAAGCATGGGGTACAACCGTGGTGATTGTGCCGTTTGCCGCGTTGATGGATGATCTGGTGACGCGAGCATGCAAGAGCGGCATTGATTGCATTCGTTGGCGGCCCGGTCGACTACAAGGACGAGAGTTGCCGATGCGAGTGGCGCGGCTGGTGGTGGCGAGTGCGGACACAGAAGAGGTGGGACAATTTCGCGACTACATCGGCAGTTTGCGCGATCGTAAGTTGTTACGACGGATTTTTGTGGACGAGGCGCACACCGTGATCATGGACGTGTCGTACCGCAAGAAGCTGGATCAGATCAAAGGGATCTACCGGTACGGATGTCCCGTGATCGCGTTGACAGCGACGCTACCGGGCGTGGTGGTGCCGTGGTTTCAGGCGACGATGTTGATGAGGGACAGCACGATCATCCGCGCGGGCACCGTCAAACGCAACGTCCGGTATAATGTGGTGCGCGTGACGAGTGGCGGCCCGAAAACGGCGGG